ATATGATGGACAATTAAATTATAAAACAGGTAAAATTCTCTTTTTTATTTTAATTGGTGCATTTTTAGTGTATTTGTTTATTTATTGGTCCATTTTATATATTTCTGCTTTTATTTTTAATTGTCATTTTCAGTCCTCCGTAGTTTACATGTTAAATTTTTAAATACTTTATGACTCAGCATGGAAGGAGTTTTTCTGCACTCTAAAAATGAAATGTTGCATTTATTGAAACAAAGTTATGTGAACTGGTTCCACTAAACCAAGTTAAGTTAATTCAACACTTTTTTTCTTAGTGTGTGTAAAAGTTGGGGGTGTCCCGATGCAAGTTTTTCAGTTTCGATTTGATGTCGATGTTGCAGCTTTGAGTCTTGGCCGATATCGACCCAATAGGATATCAGACAGAACCCTACACACTTTTATTATTTATTTTCTAGTGTGGAATCTTAAAAAGCCTTGATCAAGTCAAACAGTGAACGATAGTAATCAACAGTAGGTATGAGGAAAACTGATCCATTTATTATTAACCAGTGGGTTACATAAAATTTAGCTTAAACATAAGAATATTCTACAACTAGAATAGTTCCTGGAAAATCTATAAAATCTTGCCTCTTGGTGCAGGATTATTTTCAACATAGTCTTGCGGGTTTACTCTTGGCTGCCACCACACCAAATATCACCTGAATATGACTYCAAATGACAGAGTTACGGTAAATTTTAACTTTTAGGTGGCGGCCATRTTGGATTTTTGATTTGGCCTCAGTTTGTGATGGAGACGGTTCTTAAGCCTGAAACATACTCCCTCTGAGTCCGACGGGTCGACGCGCGGTCACGTGGTTGTTTGGCATTCATTTTCGCACAGACCTTTCATAGTCCCTGAGACACCCCGCGCCGAGCTCGGGACACCCCCCCTCCCCTCCCGCTGCAGCATTCGTCACTGCATGGAGTTTTTCTCCCCGCGACAGCCGACAATGCAGAACAAAAAGTCAGACTGGTCACTCACCCGACATATTTATCCACATCTGTCCTGGTAAAGCTCCACAGTTTTTATCAGTCAGATTCCTCCGTGCACAACATCTGTTTTATCTCCATTCATGAGTTTTTCACGGTTTYACTATCTTTATAAAACTCTGCTTCAACAGTCTGCTCTAGAAGCGAGTGTAGTGTCCAAGAGTGGGGGGTCTCTTCTCAGGAATGCACAGATGTGATGTCTCTTAGATTCCAGCTTCAGAGCTTGGCACATATTACCATATTAGGAAGAAGGTGTACCGTGATGAAATTTATGGTACATCTGTGAAGCCTATAAAGAGCCTTGTACGCCCCCATCCTTTGCCTTCATTCTCCATCTTTCTTACTTGGTGAATCATTTGGCATTGAAGGCCATAATTTGGTTTTTGGCTGTAATCTGGACTGCAAAATAAAGATTCTTGCTGTTCAACCAGCCTGTTTCAGAGTTTCTCTCTTCACTGAGCAGCAGCAGTTCCACTTGAACCAGAAGACGTGGTTATTTTCACCTCACGAGTTTTTTTTATTTTTACTTTTGAGAGTCCGAGCGCTTTCAGTTTCAGCACAAACAAACATGCCCACGAACTTCAGACCAATCACACATTGCCGTCGTCGCGGTAGGGGGGTAAAAAGTTCTGCTGGGGGGGGTTGTGCCAAAAGAYGCTGCCGAGCCGACGCTGCGAACACGGGTGACGTAATTTTTGTCATGAAACTGCGACAACCCGTGCTTAAGCCACCACAGCAACTTTTAACCCAATGCCTTCCTCTGCTCTCTTGTTCAGTTTATATGGCAAGCCCTAAGTTAATAAAATAAAAATAAAATAAAATGGAAGACCCTTATTAATTACCCCAATAAATCTGATAAAAAGCAAATGTTGTTTTACAGTGTAAAAACATGTCAGGATGCAGGTGCTGGAGCAGACCACTGGAATGAACKTCAGATCAGATTTTAGATGAAGGCTGATATGATCCGATACTAGTTTTTTAGCTTTTGTTTGATATKTTTTACTGTTCTGATTATTCTAAGCAGTTTTATGACTTTTCAGTACTTTTCCTATCAATGAAATTCATTTTAAAGTAATCCTCTGTTGAGGTATTTTATTTGAACTCGTTTTTCTCTGTTAAAATGTACGGCTCCACTCTGACTTGTCCTGTTAGATGTTTGTTTATAGGAGGGCGGGGCATCCAGCCACTGTATTTCCCCTCGTTAAGCTCATCTCAACTCAGCAGTGAGTCCATGAAGCTGAGTTCAGCAGATGTCAGTGTCTTAATTAACAGAACTGCTTCCTGTTTGCTGAAGCTTCTGCACAACAAACTCACTCAGCGGCCTGTTGAAAACATCAGACGTAGCGTCTCACGCGTCAGGTCACCGCTCGCCGTAATTAGTGTTTGATTTTAACGCTAACACCGAGGGTCGTGTGACCAGGCTGCTCCGCTGAGGCGTGGACTCAAGTGGACGTGTTTCTCCACGGTGTGGGTTTGAAGCTGAGCTGCTGTGGAGGTGAAGGAATGAAGATTTAATTACTGCTGTTTTACTCTTCACACATGAGAGCGCGGCTGCGCTGCGGAACGTCACAARATCTCCAGGAAACGGGTGGAAGTGTTGAAGCCGGGCTGCCAGAGCGAGTGAAAATAAACCTGTGAGCTTTTACTGCCAGCACAAGTGCTCCATTCAGGAGCTGCATGGAAATCACACCGCGGTTTAACTCCAGTTCTGCCTTTTTAACTGGATTCTGTGGAAGAGGTAGAAATAATTCAGTGCAATTCAAAATATTAATTCAGTTCATTAAAAAACAAAATAACCATATACAATAGAAAACGTAATTACCTTTTCAGATTCCTGCTTTAAAAGCTACATTTTGA